TTTGTAAAAATATTTTTTTTTAGCAAATCTTGTTCAATAAATATCAAAGTTAGCCAATTCAATCATTCTTATAACATGGTTGTCACAAATAAGATTTTAGCCCTTGTTTGGGCTCCATTAAAATTAATTTTTGGGGAATAATATATTTTGAAATAGTAGTTTTTTTTTTTTTTTAAAGTATGATTAAAAAAGAAGGAAAAAATTTTAAATTTACATATAATATTATTTTAGTAGAGAATGCGTAGTTGAAAAAAAAAAGGGAAAAATACATTTTTAATAAAATGGAGCCCAAATAGAGGCTTAGGGGGTGTTCGGGAGATATTCTCAAGTTCTACAGTAAATCAATTCTCATTTTCAACCACGCATTTTCAATAAAATAATATTTTTCATCACATCAATAATTTTTTTTCTTTTTCAACCACACATTTCCCATCATATCACTATTCAAAAATCAATTCTTCTCTCAAAAATTCCTCCCAAACAAGCTCTTAAAGTCACTGTCAAATGGAGTGTCGCCACGTCTTACAAACTCGTGTCCCCACCGTGAGCTCTTGCACCTCTACGAGTATCCATTTTTCTACAGTAAATCAATTTTCATTTTCAACCACACATTCTTCAATAAAATAATATTTTCCATCACATCAATACTTTTTTCTTCTTTTTCAACCACACATTTCCCATCATATCACTATTCAAAAATCAATTCTTCTCTCAAAAATTCCTCCCAAACAAGCTGTTAATAACTTCAGTTTTAAAGATTGTACTATTATAGAGCAAAGAATTGATAGTAAAGTTTATTCTCATCTCTGTTTGAGCGTTCTTCATGAGTTAAAGAGTGGGAGAGAGCAAAATTACGGAAAAGGGATTTGGGTTTGTTTTTCATTCTTCACTTTAATCATTTGAATTTTGGGCTACTTATTGTCTTCTTGGGTCGATAATTGGTTAATTAAGTTAATTGGGCATTTGGGATTGTGATCGGTAAAATAGATAGTTCATAAATTTTTTTTCGAAAGCAAGATAGTTTAAAATTAGAAACATAAATAATATTTTTTAATAATATGTTAATTTTAACAAGTATTAACGTAACATAATTTTTTGTCTTTTTTTTCATAAATATTATGCCATTTTAACTTAATAAAATAATAACAATTTTAAATTTTAAAATTAATAAAAAAATTTAAATATGTACTTATACATATATATACACACCTATAACAAAAAACTTTTTGGTACCCCTACAATGCCAAGGCTCGTGCGGTCACTAAGCTCGTACATTTTCAGGGCCGCCTCTGGTAAAATAAAAGAATAGCATGCAAACCAAATATTTTCATTGGCTAAAAATACTGATGATTGAAAAAGAGGAATAAACTAATAGATTATTAAAAATTTCAAACTTGTGTAGCTAATAATTCGTTGATAGCTTTCTATACATTCATGTTGCAGATTAGCATTCTTCGTTATTATTATATAATAATTGTTTTTTTCTGTTTCTGGTCAATTATACAATCAAAGTAAACAAGTTATTGTCAATTTCCCATCAGTGAACAAATCTGAAATTATTTTAGTTGTATTGAATGCTCAAGACATTGGTACAAAGTAAGGCAATGAAGAAACAAATTAAACATGTACCTTTTCCTCTTCTCCTATCATTTTTACTATCCATCCTAAAGATTTCAATAGCAACAGATATCATTAATACAACTCAGATTCTTAGAGATGGCGACACCCTCGTTTCGTCAGGAGGAACATTCGAACTGGGATTTTTCAGCCCAGGTAACTCCAATAATCGGTATGTGGGAATTCAGTACCACAAGATACCTAAAAGCTCTGCAGTTTGGGTAGCCAACAGAGAAATTCCAGTGAGAAGTTCATCAGGCATCTTGAAAGTCATGGAGCCGGGTATCTTGGTAGTTCTGAATGACACTAATAACATCATATGGTCTTCCAACACATCAAGAGTTGCTCGGACGCCAGTTTTACAATTGCTGGACTCGGGAAATCTTGTCCTTAGAGAAGCAAATGATGATCGTCCAGATAATTTTCTTTGGCAGAGTTTTGATTATCCAAGCGATACGTACTTGCCAGGCATGAATATTGGTTGGAACTTCGCAACAGCTATAGAGAGCTACCTGTCGTCGTGGAAGACAAATGATGATCCAGCCAGAGGGGATGTTACATTTCATTTGGATCCAGTTGGATATCCACAGCTAGTCATAAAAAGAGGTACAACTACTCAATGTAGAGTTGGGCCCTGGAATGGTCTTCGCTTTAGTGGGCAAACAAATGCAGGGCAGGATATGAATTTCAGATATGTATTTACCATGAACAAGGACAAGACATACCATAGGCTAGAGGCCATTGACAGTTCAGTTATTTCAAGGGTTATTTTGACTGAGACTGGTATTATGCAACGCTGGACATGGGTTGATCGGATACATGACTGGATCCCTTACGTCAATTTTCCAGCAGATAATTGTGATACTTACAAATTGTGTGGTGCTTATGGTAGTTGCAATATTGCAAATACTCCTGCATGTGTATGTCTTGATAAATTTGAGCCTAGAGATCCAGAAGGTTGGATTAGGTCAGATTGGTCGAATGGTTGCAACCGAAGGACACCCTTGAATTGTTCAAAGGGTGATGTATTTTTGAAGTATTCTGGAATTAAATTACCAGATTCCCGAAACTCCAAGTATAACAAGAGTATGACTCTTGAAGAATGCAAAGTGGAGTGCTTAAAAGATTGCTCTTGTATGGCGTATACACAGTTAGATATCAGCAGAGAGAGAAGTGGATGCTTGTTTTGGTATGAAGACTTGATTGACATCAGAGATCTATCTTCACTCGGACAAGACATTTACATTAGAATGTCTTCTTCTGAATTGGGTAAGAATATGCTAAACAATCAATCAGTGCATTATGCTATCATTGGCCTTATTTTCTTATCATTCTAACAATTAGCAAGTTTTTTTATGAGGATAGTAAATATCATTCTTAGATTTTGTCTGATCGAGAAATAATGGTCATGTTGAAGTACTGGATTTGAATTTAAAAAAAAAAAAACATTTATTTAAACGTACCAGTTGAAACAAGAAAACAGATGAGATTGATCCTTATCTTTATGAAAGACTATTAGTACTTTTGGATTGAACTTCTTACAGATTCGAAAGGAAAAGGAAGAAAATTATTTATATCGAGTTTGACATCATTAATAGCGTTGGTTCTGCTGGGCCTGAGCTTGATGCTATATTATGGAAAAAGGAAGAGAAATTGCGGAAAATGGAGAACAGGAGGTGAGTAACTTGTACCATTTTATGATGAAAGATTAACTAATTCTAGGTCTAGAATACTTTCACTTTTCAACTTTTCTTTGGTAAATTACATGCTTATATTACTCATGTTTCAGAAAGTCAGAACAAAGATTATGAGCTGCCACTGTTCCGCACATCTACAATTTCAAAAGCTACCAATAACTTTTCTGTCAACAAGAAGCTTGGACAAGGTGGATACGGGCCAGTTTACAAGGTGAAAGTGAATACAACACTACCTCAAGGAAATCAGAGGCCTTTAGATACTTATATCATATAAAATCCTCATGTTTTTAATATAATTATATGACTAGTGTGTCTCTTCTGAAAATTAGACTTGCTCCATTGGTTCAATTCAGCAAGAATCAAGACCTGGAAAAAGTTGTCTTCTTCAAAATTTAGTAAGAAATTTTTAAAAAGTGATACACACTACTGCACGCTGAGCATCATCCAGGCATATATCTGTATAAATGTTCAAATATTCCTGTCTTTTGTATATGGGACGAAGTCCTCAAATTCAATTCACGTAACATAAAGGTTGGCCTATGAGATATATTAAAAGAGAGTAACAGATAAATTTCAGCAGAAAAAAATTCAGTGCTACATCAAGTTCATTAAGTAAAATACCTTCTCAAATAAACAAATTCTGATCTTAGGGAACTCTGGAGGACGGACAAGATGTTGCTGTGAAAAGGTTGTCCAAAACTTCCATGCAAGGACTTGATGAATTCAAGAATGAAGTTATCTGTATCGCTAAACTACAGCATCGAAATCTTGTGAAGCTTCTAGGATGCTGCATAGAAGGAGAAGAAAAGATGCTCATTTATGAATACATGCCCAACAGGAGCCTGGACCTGATTTTATTTGGTAAGGATTTCTATTTCTAGTACAATAAGCTCAAAATTACCATTCAACATATGACCACAAAGAATTATTACTAACTTAAGTCATTGTTTGAGCCATATGGTCAGTGATAATAACTTAAAAAACACGCAGTGAATAGAAGATTAATGCTAGTCCCGAGTTGAATCCTAGTTGATTGCATCAATATAGGAAAGCTTTGTTCTTTTGCTACAATTAACGTTTTGCGATAGAGTATAGTTTTACCACCAGAGTATATAGTTGATAATAGCTTTTGTAATAAATTTCTAACGTTTAGCATCCAACTACAATCGGATGAGGTGTATTAACTAGCACAACATTTTGGCAGATCAAACTAGAAGTACATTACTTGATTGGCCTAAGCGCCTTCAAGTTGTTAATGGAGTGGCTAGGGGACTGATGTATATTCATCAAGATTCCCAATTGAGAATTATTCATAGAGACCTCAAAGCTAGCAACATATTGCTAGATACTGACATGAATCCTAAAATATCAGACTTCGGCATTGCTAAAAGTTTTGGAGGGAATGAAACTGAAGATAAGACTGGCCGAATAGTTGGAACATAGTAAGAATCTCCTTTGCACAACATATAGATAATATACTTCCATTGTTCTTATATATTATTTTCTTGCAGTGGTTACATGTCACCAGAATACGCAATGCATGGACGGTTCTCACAAAAATCAGATGTATTTAGTTTTGGCGTTCTAGTGTTAGAAATTGTAACCGGCAAGAGAAATAGTGAATTTCCCCATGGAGATCAACACCTTAACCTTCTTGGACACGTAATTATTTTCTTTGATATGCCTATGTTTACTGTCTTTATACTAACTCTACTAAAAAGATCTGTTACTGTTGTTAAATTTATACAGGCATGGACGCTTCATAAGCAAGAAAGGTCATTGGAACTAGTTGATGCTTATCTACGTGAGACAGCTAATCTATTTGAAGTTCTACGATTAATCCATGTGGGTCTTTTGTGTGTGCAACAATGTCCAAATGATAGGCCGAGCATGACTTTAGTGGTTGCAATGTTGGGAAATGACACTGTGTTGCCTCAGCCAAATCAACCTGGTTTTTTCATAGAAAGAGATGAATCAGTAGGTAAAAGTATAACTAACGGTTCATCCAATGGGATAACCATTACCGAGCTGGAAGCACGATGAGTGTATATTAGTTTTTATTATCTTGGGGCTCTACCAATTAATTCTTCCTAGCTCTATATTGGGAATTCTGTACCATTCACTATTGTGGATTCAAGAGCTTGAACAGAACCTGAATTTGAGATTATAGTGGAACTCACTGTATGTTCACTACAAAAAAAGTGAATTTTTTTAGAAACAAAAAACAGAAAATATGTGTATGCATAGCGAAGTGCATCATTCATCAAAACATCAAATGTGAGACTTTTCTTTATGTTATTGAGCAAGTCTTTCGATTTTCAACCAAAGTAGAACGAATATAAATTAGTTTGATGTTACTATAGATTTTACAAATATAAAGTAAGCAACAAAAAATGCAGAACTTGAGGACAAACAATTGCAGAAGGCAATGGCTAGCCAAACCCAAATCAAGGAAAGCGAAACAAAAAGAAGCAAGAATTAACACCTATCTGGGCAGAGTGGAAAGAGAACAAGAAACCACCACAGGATAAAGACCGAGAGAGCCAGGAAATTCATTCAGTGGGCACAATTTTATCGCCCCGAACATCGAGTTTTTGGCCACGAATTTAGTAATGATAAAAATATAAAGAAATTAACAGAGGCCACATTGAATAGTGGATCAAATCAGACTAAGAGAAAGATCTAACCACAAACTGTATATGACAAATTCATCCAAAAATGATCATATTCCATTAAGACAGTGTATCAACCAGTAAAAAACATTATGGCCAAAACTGTCGACAAATAACCACAAGCAGCATAACGAGGATCTGAACAGACGAAAATAGGAAATGAGCAACTTAACAGATAATTCATAAATAGCCGATTCGTCCAATAGATGGATACATCCAATTACATAACTCATTCTTATTCTAACACTTAAAAATCGTACTTTTCTTTTTATAGATAAGAACACATCTTTAAAAATTAAATAAAAATCGGTGTCACTTTCTTCATCTTTTGACTGCTGTGCAGGTGCTGCCGAAGAATCGCCGGTGCCCAGTGGAATGTGGAATCGCCGGCAGCAGCGTCTGCCTAGTACCGTCTAGGGCTCGAACAGGGTCGGAGCAGCCATGGGGCGCGATTGGAGGAGATTGAACGACGGAGGTTGAGAAGTCCGGCTCGGGAGGAAGAGGCGAAGCGGAGTTGGGAAGAATGAGAGGGTTGAATTGAAAATGGAATTCGAATGGGAATTTGGTTAAAAAAAGAAGTTAATTCGTTAAAAATCCAAGTGATTGTGAAAGGTCGGGATGCCAAGTGCAATTTAAATTCCATTTGTTGCAAAGGTTGGAAATGTCAAGTGTAATTTTCCCTTAAAAGAACCAAAATCAAAGACAAGAAATTGTGGAAGCTGAATAGGCCCAAGACATCGAAAATATGTGAACAAATAAATCCTTGAATGAGGTTAAGTGGAAAAGAGGTTTAAACTTAACATTTGAACTATTATGTTTTATATAAGTAGCAGAGTCAAAACTCGAAGTGAAATAAAGCCTATGTTTGGACAGCATTATTCCTCCATTTGTAGAAAACTTTGTACCGTTGCAAGGCCCACTTGGTCTCTTCAGTTGACTTGCGTCTTACACTTTTTGAAAAATTGGAGCTCCAATAGTACAATTTATTATTTTCATTCTTGGAATAATGCTGTCCAAAAAGGGGCAAAAGTTAATTACGTAATAATTTTTTTCCTCGAAACAACATGATATTTATAGAATGTAGTTTTTCCTAACCAAATTGAAATCATAAAAAATGAACCGTCTTGTCGTAAAAAGTGGTTTCGTCCTTGTTTTGGTTTTTCTTGATTTTCGTTGCCCTTTGGCAGTTGAGCCGGGGTGGCTTATGCCTAATTTTTGTTAGAAGTTAACAAGTTCTCAATCCTGCTATAGCACTTATGATGTGGAATTATATGCAGTAGTGCAATTAATGCGGCATTAGAGGCACCATTTGTTTCATCGTGAGTTCGTCCTTTGTAAGAATCACGAGGGCGAATTTACAATGGAGGGTAGTGGGGTTACCTGCTCCAATGCTAAATTTTAAATCTAAGATTTTACACAATATTTTCAAAAATTCCTTAATAGTTTTCAATTTTGGCCCCACGATTAATTTTTTTTTTGTTTTTTTAAATTTGCCTTCACAATTTTATAATTCTAGCTCCGCTGTGAGGCACTTAAGAATGACTTTTCAAGACAAATTTCTGCTATACACGCTGCTTATTTGAAGCAGTTCACTTTTGTAATCAAGTATAAATCAGGTGTGACTAATCAATTCCCAGATACAGTTAGCTAGAGACATATTTTATTGACTAAGTTGTCTGTGTTTATTTTGGGTGCTTTTAAGACTGACTTTGTCAAACCCCTAAATTTTTACTTTAAGAGCCCATTTGGTACACATTAAAATGAGAGAATGCATTTTTTTGAAGTGATGTGATGGAGAATATGTGGTTGAAAAAGAAGGAAAAATTATTAATGTGATGAAAAATATTATTTTATTGAAGAATGTGTTATTGAAAATGAGTAGAAGAATGAGAATGAAAAAAATAATGTGTGCCAAATAGAGCCTTAAAGTGTTTCAATTTTCAATGTAGGAAAAAAAATAAATTAATCTAAAAAAAGCTAGTTAAGTAATTAGAATGAAAAAATAATGTGGTCCAAGCAGGGGCTAAATTGATGGTTGGGAAAAGCTTTCTAGTTGCTGCTGCCTTTTTTTTTTTTACAATGAAAACAAATTTCATAAGTAGTTGTAAAAAAAAAAAATTCATTTTAATAGACAATTTTCATATAAAACAAAGCCAAATGATTTTTTTAGGAATTTTTTTTTTAACTTTTTCGCAATGGAAACAAATTTTATAACCAATTATGGAAAAAATTATCACTTTAATGGACAATTTTCATGTAAAACAAAGCCAAACGAACCCAAAATTTAAAAATTTTTCGGATGAAAAATTATACCAATTAAACACACTAAATTAACAATTCTCCGCAAAACAATTTCTAGGCAATTACTTTCCCTGAAATTCATTTTCTTTCCACCCATTTTCCACTATTACAATCAAACGGACCCTAATTTCATATTTTCACAATAACTTTTTGAATGGTAAAAGATAAAGATGTCCTTCAAAAAATAATACAATTACAAAATATTGTTTTATTTAAAAAACAATACTACCATTTTAGTTAACAAGTAAAAACCAAACACTTCAAACTTAAAATTTCAAAACCAACTAACTTTTCTTATTTCTTTATTCCAAGACAGATAAAAACTTTCTCATTTTTTATCTGCTTCGACCTCAAGATTATTTTTTTTTTTATCACTTCGAATCAGAAAGTATATTTATGTATGTTTAATTTCATTTTCGTTAAATTAATATACTTTTTTAATCTATAAATTTTATTTCGACATAGATCAACATGTAGAGAAATGTTTTTAACAAATTTATAATTTTTTTTTAATATAAACAAAGAAAAAAATTGCATGTACCATATACAAGTCCACCTAAAGACTAGGTATTCAAGAGTGTGTCCCAGTTCTTTAGAGATTCAGCTTGAGGGGTTTGGCTAATACGGAGCTTCGTCTCACTAGTGCTTATCACAAATGGTCAGACTAAGCTGGCGAATTTCTTTTGGTAATTTGCTTCGTTGCTTGGTTGGGACAGGGAAGTTCTGGGACCAGAAATTATGCCAGGCAGAATTTGCTCATAATCATGCCATTAATTGAAGCAAAGGTCTAAGCCCGTTCCAAGTGGTTAATGGCAATGTTCCCTGCAACCCTGCCTATAAGTTAAGTTGGCAGCTGACGCCAAGCACATACAAGTAAAGTTTTAGGTTGGTAATCATGTATGGAATGTAAGTATTAAGAATCGTTTTCCTGCCTGCCCATGAGTATAATAAGCTTGCTGTGTTGCTCAGAAACTTGGTTCGTTAGAGATTGTCGAGAAGATTAATTCTAATTCAGTTGAAGCTTCCCAGTCACTTTCTGACCACTGATGTCTCTAATGTTAAGCACCAGTTCCCCTTTTGTGGCAATGACTCGTCTGATGCTGATGACCTATCCGATTCGTTAAGGCTAGACACGGACCAGGCTGATATATCATATATGTAGTGGTTAAAATTAATAGATTGTTCAAACTTGTGTAGCTAATAATTTCATTCAAACTAATTCATTGATTGTTTACTATTCTATGTTATTATATTCATTTTCTTCTGTGTTCGGTCAAATTGTACAGTCAAAGTTGACGATTTATTGTCAATTTTCCATCAACGAGTAATCTGAATTTATGCTAGCTGCATTGAATGCACAAGATGCTAATACAAAGTAATGCAATGGAGAAACCAATTAAACATATATCTTTTCTTCTTCTTCTTCTTCTTCTATCATTTTTACTGTCTATCCTAAAGATTTCAATAGCAACAGATATCATTAATACAACTCATATTCTTAGAGATGGCGACACCCTCGTTTCATCAGGAGGAAGATTCGAACTGGGATTTTTCAGCCCAGGTAACTCCAATAATCGGTATGTGGGAATTCAGTACCACAAGATACCTAAAAGCTCTGCAGTTTGGGTAGCCAACAGAGAAATCCCAGTGAGAAGTTCATCAGGCATCTTGAAAGTCATGGAGCCGGGTATCTTGGTAGTTCTGAATGACACTAATAACATCATATGGTCTTCCAACACATCAAGAGTTGCTCGGACGCCAGTTTTACAATTGCTGGACTCGGGAAATCTTGTCCTTAGAGAAGCAAATGATGATCGTCCAGATAATTTTCTTTGGCAGAGTTTTGTTTATCCAGGCGATACGTATCTACCAGGCATGAATACTGGTTGGAACTTCGCAACAGCTATAGAGACCTACCTGTCGTCGTGGAAGACAATTGACGATCCAGCCAGAGGGGATGTTACATTTCATTTGGATCCAGTTGGATATCCACAGCTAGTCATAAAAAGAGGTACAACTACTCTGTATAGAATGGGGCCCTGGAGTGGTATTGGCTTTAGTGGGCAAACAAATGCAGGGCAGGATATGAATTTCAGATTTGTATTTACCCTGAACAAGGACAAGGCTTACCATACGCTAGAGGCCATTGACGATTCAGTTATTTCAAGGCTTATTTTGACTCAGACTGGTATAATACAACGCTGGACATGGGTCGATAGGATCCATGACTGGATCCCTTACGTCAATTTTCCAGCAGATAATTGTGATACTTACAAATTGTGTGGTGCTTATGGTAGTTGCAATATTGCAAATATTCCTGCATGTGAATGTCTTGATAAATTTGAGCCAAGAGATCCAGAAGGTTGGATTAGGTCAGATTGGTCGAATGGTTGCAACCGAAGGACACCCTTAAATTGTTCAAAGGGTGATGTATTTTTGAAGTATTCTGGAATTAAATTACCAGATTCCCGAAACTCCAAGTATAACACGAGTATGACTCTTGAAGAATGCAAAGTGGAGTGCTTGAAGGAATGCTCTTGTATGGCGTATACACAGTTAAATATCAGCAAAGAAGGAAGTGGATGCTTGTTTTGGTATGAAGACTTGATTGACATCAGAGATCTATCTTCACACGGACAAGATATTTACGTCAGAATGGCTTCCTCTGAATTGGGTAAGAATATGCTAAACAATCAATGAATAATTCAGTGCACTATGCTATCAATGACCTTATTCTGTTATCATTCTAACAATTAGCAAGATTTGTTATGAGCACAATAAACATCATGCTTACCTTTTGTCCGACATCATAGGATTCAAGAAATAATAGTCGTAATGAAATACTGGTGGCAATCCCTCTCTTTCTGAAGGACTAACAGTACTTTTGGATTGAACTTTTTGCAGATTCGAAAGGAAAGGGAAGAAAAATATTTATATCGATTTTGACATCATTAATGGGGTTGGTTCTGCTGGGCATGAGTTTGATTCTATATTATCGACAAAGGAAGAAAAATTGCGGAAAATGGAGAAGAGGAGGTGAGTAATTTGTGCCCCTTTTGTTTGATTAACTAATGTTATTCTTAGATCTTGTTCGTGATATTGAGAAAAATAAAGATATTTATAAATTATTCTGATTTCTATGTACACTAAACTATTCTAATTACATTATTTTATTAATTTTGTTCCCTCTTTTTCTGTGTCTTTGTTCTTTTATTATGAAAGGTTAACTAATTCTAGGTCTAGAATACTTTCACTTTCCGACTTTTCTTTGATAAATTACATGCTTATATTACTCATGTTTCAGGAATTCGTACTGAAAGTCATAACAAAGAATATGAGCTGCCATTGTTCCGCACATCTACAATTTCAAAAGCCACAAATAACTTTTCTGTCGACAACAAGCTTGGACAAGGTGGATATGGGCCAGTTTATAAGGTGAAATCAACACTACTTCAAGGAAATTAGACACCTTTAGATATATCATATAAAATCCTCATTGTTTAGAAGAATTACATGACCAGTGAACTTTACATGAGCTGCAATGCCTCAGAGTGAAAACTTGTGCCCAAAATAAAGATTAAAAAAGGTGAATAACCCTTACGAAACAGACATTAATCCCAGAAAGAAATGCAATTTTTTATTTTTCCTTATATCAAAGAACCTCAGTAGAAGATCAATATTGTGCATCTTCATAAAATTAGACCTGTTCCATAGGTTCAATTCAACAAGAATGAAGACCTGAAAACCTGAAAAAAGTGGTCTTCTTCAAAATTTTGTAAGAAATTTTTTAAAAAGGTGATAAACATTTCTGCATGCTGAGCATCATCCATACATATATCTGTATCAATGTTCAAATATTCCTGTCTCTTGTATAAGGGATGAAGTCCTCAAATTCAATTCACAAAACAAAAAGGTTAGCCTATGAGACATTAAAAGAGAGTAACCAATAAATTTCAGCAGAAAAAAATTCAGTGCTACTTCAATTTCATTAAATAAAGACCTTCTCAAATGACCAAGTTCTGATCTAGGGAACTCTGGAAGATGGACAAGATGTTGCAGTGAAAAGGTTGTCCAAAACTTCCACGCAAGGACTTGATGAATTCAAGAATGAAGTTATCTGTATCGTTAAACTTCAGCATCGAAATCTTGTGAAGCTTCTAGGATGCTGCATAGAAGGAGAAGAAAAGATTCTCATTTATGAATACATGCCCAATAAAAGCCTGGACTTGATTTTATTTGGTGAGGATTTCTAATTCTAGTACAGTAAGCTCAAAAATTTCTACTAAAAGTCATTGTTTGAGCCATATGGTCAGCGATAACTTGAAAAACATGCAGCAAATCGAAGATTAATACTAGACTAGAATTGAATCCTAGATTATTGCATAAATATAGGAAAGCATTGTTCTTTTGTTAAATTTAACGTTTCGCATTATAGTATATTTTTTATCCAGATTATATAGTTGATAATAGATTTTGGAAATAATTTCTAATGTCTAGCATCCAACTACAATGGGATGAGGTATATTAACTAGCACAACTTCGCAGATCAAAAACGAAGTGCATTACTTGATTGGCCTAAGCGCCTCCAAGTTGTTAATGGAGTGGCCAGGGGACTGATGTATATTCATCAAGATTCCCGAGTGAGAATTATTCATAGAGACCTCAAAGCGAGCAACATATTGCTTGATACTGACATGAATCCTAAAATATCAGACTTTGGCATTGCTAGAAGTTTTCGAGGGAATGAAACCGAAGATAAGACAAGCCAAGTAGTTGGAACATAGTAAGAATCTCAACAGTACAACATATAGTTAATACAATTCCATTGTTCTTAACATTATTTTTTGGCTAATACTTCCATGTAGTGGCTATATGTCACCAGAATACGCAGTGCATGGACGGTTCTCACAAAAATCAGATGTATTTAGCTTTGGCGTTCTAGTTCTAGAAATTGTGATTGGCAAAAGGAATAGTGGATTTTACCATGGAGATCAACACCTCAACCTTCTTGGACATGTAATTATTGTCTTGGATATGCCTATGTTTATTCTTTTTATACTAACTTTGCTAAAAATATCACTGTGGTTAAATTTATACAGGCATGGACACTTCATAAAGAAGAAAGGTCATTGGAACTAGTTGATGCTTCTCTACGTGAGACAGCTAATCCATCTGAAGTTCTACGATTAATCCATGTGGGTCTTTTGTGTGTGCAACAACGTCCACATGATAGGCCGAGCATGACTTCAGTGGTTGCAATGTTGGGAAATGATGCTGTGTTGCCTCAGCCAAATCAGCCTGGTTTTTTCATAGAAAGAAATGTACCTGTAGGTAAAAGTATAACTAGCTGTTCATCCAATGGAATAACCATTACCCAGCTGGAAGCAAGATGAGTATATTAGCTTTTATTATCTTGGTGCTCTACCAATTAATTCTTCCTAGCTCTATATTGGGAACTTTGTACCATTCAATATTGTGGATTCAATTTCTAAGCCTGAAATGAAGCTTGAGAAATTAGATGCAAAAATTGATCATGTAGACTTTAAGACACTACCTTCCAGGCATATACTTTTAGATTTCTAGGCTTTATCTTACAATATATTTCGAAACTGATCATGTAACTAACAGAAAATAGGCAGAACATTTTTTCAAATTACGAGAGCTTGAACAAAACCTGAATTTGAGATTATAGTGGAACTCACTGTAAGTTCACTACAAAAAATGCGACACTAATGGTGGATTTAAGGATCCATATTTTAGTCAATAATTTTAGTTTCTAACAAATTAAAAAATTAGCAGTCAGCAATCCTTACATGGATAATCTTCCATTTGTTTTCAAAAAAAAAAACTAAATGTAAATGCACATTTTCCTTCTTCATTCTGCATTATTATTGCATCAAGAGTCATAGGCAAGTCAATCCTCACCCCCAAGCCATCACCAACATTAGGATGTGGGCCACGCATTTCCACAAACACCTGGAGTGCGATCTCACTGGAATGCATTCGCGCAATAACTTGACCCAATTTTCTTGGAACCAAAACACAGAAAAATGAATAGAGATGTGCATGATTCATTAACACGACAAATGCAAGAGTTTTCTTTATGTTATTGAGCAAGTCTTTCGCTCTTTACCAAAATATAATGAATATAAATTAGTTTGATGCTATTATAGATATTACAAATATAAAGTAAGCAACAAAAAATGCATAACTTGAAGACAAATAATTGCAGAGGCAATTGCTAGCCAAACCCAAATCAAGTAAAACGAAACAAAAAGAAGCAAAAATTAACACCTACCTGGGTCAAGTGTAAAGAGAACAAAAAACCACCATAGAAGAAAGACTCAGATGGCCGAAGTTGGAGAAGTCCGCGAATTACGGTGACGTGTGATAATGGAAATAATTATCCAATATATATATATACTTTTTTTTTTCTTAGAACCTTTTAGATTTACATTTCGGGAAAATGAAAGAAAATATCTATTCTAAGTGTGAATCTTACGAGCGTGAAAGGATATATTTGACTTCAAAGGGTTGGGTTGGAACCAATGTTAAAAGTTTTTCCATTTTAATGATTGTTTTCTAGTTTTGATAATGATTGAAAATGACTATGCACACATTACACTGATCGAACTATGGATAGGCTAAATGATTTTATACAGCATTATTTGGAGCATAGTTGTGAATTGATAGACAATTTTTAAACTCTCTGATATTCTTTGCGAGCTGTCTAATGTGTTAATCATTGTCGCATTTGCATGATTGTNCTACTCATGCCTTCTAGTTGCAAGTTTGTAGACCTTGTCGCAATGATATCAAACTGAATTAAGGATGTATGTGAGGATGGTGGGTGATAAGTGTGGTTTTACACTCTTATTTAGCACTTTTTGTATTTAATTGGGATTTAAATTGAGTTGATTTCTATACATAATTGTGTAATTTTGTATGTTGTAGGCTTTGTACCCGAATTCGCGAAGAACGGAGTGAAAAGATGAAAAAATGGACTAAAAGTGCACAAATTGATGAAGTTAGGGACCAAGTTGCACATGCCACAAAGATGAAGGACTTGACATGCAATGTATAAAGGGCCTAACTGAAATGAAGATCAAAAGTCAAGGACCAAATTGTACAAGATCAAAGTTGAGGGACTATTTTGTAACTTAGCAAAAGTTTAGGGACCTTTGTTGCAAATTTACCTAGATATTTACATAACTTAATCACTAAGTAAAGAAAAATATCCTATCTATATGACCAAGTGGCTGGACGGTTTTGGAGATTAGAAAAGGTAGGATATTTTTAGTTTTAGTATATATAAGATTAATTAACTTAGTTTTAGGTTAGTTTTTTATCTTACTTTTTCTCTCTCCCTCCCTTCTAGTTTTACACGTTTTTTCCTCTTTTTCTCTCTCTTTTATTTTCTTTGTTTTATTTAGTTCTTGGTTCATTGGTAGAAGAAGAAGGTGATAACAAGGAGATTCAACCGTAGGAAATTGGAGAAATCAACGACGGATGATCCAAAGCATGTTTTAAACGGGTTGTATTGTTAACTTTGGTTTATTTCCATTATTTTCCAATACTTGTTATATATTGTAACAATGAATCTCCTTGTTATTGATTTTATGATGATGAATTAGATCTTTTTGTTGGAATTTATAGAGTAACTTAACCTAAATGCTTCATTAATGTTGATTATATGTTTGTTAGAATTTTAGTATGCATTGATTATCAAAATAATAGTGCATCAATCATCATGTTTAAAATGATTTCATTTAATTGACAACTAGATGAAATTGTTAGGTTTTACATCATTTTTGGTGACGCTTAAATGATTGTAATTAATTTCGATGTGATTGTTGTAAGATAGTTGCATTTAATAGACCAAAGTGTTCTATTCATCTAATTGACAACTAGATGAAATTATTAGGTAATTATTTGTGACTGTTGAACAATGATTGCATTAATTAGACCGAAATGATTGATACCATGGGTTTGTCTAGTATACTAGGCGCGTCTAGGTGATGTAGAAATACACACCTACCTCATGTGATCCGCTGAGTATTTTCACAGAAAATCATGCAATTGGTCAACTTTGTATCGATATAGAAATATGTGGTATGAATTGACTAATTAGGGTTAATATTCGCTCGAAAGAGGGTATTAGCTAAAATTGGAAAATCGGGTCTGACTACTTATTTTGATAAATAGCATTTGCACGTGAATGAATTGATATATATGAAGTATAGGTTAAGCGAAACATAAATTTCAACATCTTTTCAAAACNTGGAGTTAGTGTGCACTTAGGTGTGTGCAGGGCGGAGCCATGAATATTGTTCAGTAGGGGCACAATTTAATCAATGTCGAACTTTTAGTTTTTGGTGATATATTTAATGATGATAAAAATATAAAATAATATTACAACAATATGAAAAATGATACGGTTTATAAATTATACTTATTCCTTTCGAGTTTTCATACTTTAATATCGTTGTATAGTGACTTCATTATCAATCTTCAAAAATATATTTTTCTCTGCATAAACAATTGTGGTATCATTCATTCACATCCGAGCCGATTGTGAAGTATCATTTACACTGCTCATTGCAGAAAGTACGCTCCACAGTAGCATTAGTAACTGGTAGAATTAACGCTAAAGTCAAAAAATTGTCAAACATTGGATATACGTTACTTTTCTTCGTCATAACTAACTTATCTACTAGATGTTATTCAATCTGCAAACTCTTATAAGAGCGCAGGCCAATTATTAAGCAATTTAATTTGCTTAATTAATTAAAGCGGGACATTTCTTTGATATGCTTTACGTGGTTTCCAAGTCAATTATTAGGCACCGTTTGGTAACCATTATTCTAGAAAAAAATGCATTTTTTGTGTCAAATCATACCTTTTTTGTGGTTGAAAATGAAGGAAAAGTTATTGATGTGATGGAAAATATTATTTTATTGATGAATGTGTGGTTGAAAATTTGTAAAAGAATGAGAATGAAAAAAAGAATGGATACCAAACAGAGGCTAAGCAATTTTCGCAGGCTAGAGAGTAAAGGGAAGGAAAAGAACATAAAACATGAGTTCTTTACGGTCATATTTCCTCCTTGGCAACAAACATCTGTTGTGCATTCTTTATTCTTTATGGGAGAATGTACAGATTACGTGATGTAAATCTAGTTGGTTTCAAATTCAAAATCGATGACCTGAAAAATTCTTGACATTCAGATATTGCTAATCGCAACCAAACCATTTTATATATCCAACGGAAGCAAATGCCAAGAAAATTCGGGGCAAGAAATCCCATATCAAAAATCAAATAGTACAATCAAACCAGGAATCTTGAAACTAAAAAACTCAAATTTAACTTTTTAAAAAAATCAAAAATTAGCATAGAGTAAACTTACTTAAATAGCACCAAGTTTGAAAGTTTGTTTGGCAGCCCAAGCAAAGAAATCCGCAGAAGTTTTATTGGTGGTGGAGTTGAAGGACCACGTGGCAGAGTCACCCAAAGTGTGGTCGATGTACTTGGTTGTTCCATTAGATGCGACACCATTAAAAAATTAAGGGTCCGTTTGATTGCAAAGATGAAAAATGAGTGGAAAGAAAATGTTTTATAGGAAATTAATTTTCTTAGAAATTGTTTTACTAGGAATTGTAATTAATTGTGTTTGATTTGTATAATTTTCCATGGAAAATATTGAAAATTTGGTGTCCATTTGACTTCGTTTTTTACTGAATTTGTCCATTAAAATGATAATTTTTTCTACTATTGAGTCTAAATTAGTTCTCATTGTCAAAAAAATTTTTGAAATAAAAAATTTACTATACTGATTATCATTCGTTTGACTTTATTTGGCATGAAAGTTGAATTTTTTTTTACCATTATGTCTAGAATTTGTTCTCATTGCCAAAAAAAAAGTTGGAAAATGTTTTCCTACCTATTATGTGAAAAAACATTTTCCACCATTTGTGCATCAAAGGGTTGTACCTAGAAAAAGGGAGGAAAACATTTTCCGTGGAAAATTTCGCATATCAAACGGTCAAAAAAGTGAAAGTAGGAAAATATTTTCCTACTTCCTTGGAAAACTCCGCCAATCAAACGGAGTCTAAAAGTGATTGGATTGTGTCCAAAAGTTCAATGTAGGCTTGTGAATGAGCTCCACCTCTTTTTCTTTTTATTTTTCCCTTCCCATCCTTTCATTTTCCTTTTCTTTTTAATCATACAAAAATAAATGTATAATACTATTATTGATCGTGTTACATGTACATAGTTACTTACATATTGGTTTACAAACATGATTTGATGAGATATAATTAGATCAAAATCTCTTCAATCAAATAAAAATAAATAAAAATTCCTCACTTTATTTTGACACCTCATCAATTTATAATTTTTTTTTGTAACTACTTATATACAAGTAGCGTTATTCTAGTATTATAGTCATTTTAACATTAAATTGGACTGTTTAACCATAAGAAAGATAGTTCTTGCTTGATGTTAAAAAAAAAAAGGTTAGTTCTTGTTCATTAGGAATCCAAGCGCTACACAACAGAAAGGTTGAGGATCTATATGCTTCATTATAACATTAGGGTACCTAAATTCTATATATTGGAAAGGTTGGGGCATCAAGTGTAATTTTCCATAAAAGAACCAAAATAAAATATAAAATTGAAAATTTGCAGAAGCTGAAAAGGCCCAAGGATGAGATAGAAAATAGTAATGCTATTTAGTTCCATTAGGAATATAATCCCAGTCTATGTGACGTTAATGTAACATTAAATGAAATGTGAAAATGATATGTGCAATTAAAATAGTCATTTAATTTCACATTTAATTTAATTTATCATTTAGAACCATTTAGACTGGGGTTACAACTCCAGTGTGATTACGTAGCATTACTCGATAGAAAATAGACGAACACATAAATCCTTGCACGCGATTCAACTTAAATGATGTTTAAATTTATTAAATGATGTTTCTCAAACAGATATCTTAGAAACTACTCAGTTAACTCTAGAAATTCTGTGTAACTGAAAAGAGCAAATTCTTTTTTCTTATTATTTTCTTTTTCTGCCATATGAAAAGGGTAATATTAATGTTCATATAAACAAAATAATAATGCTGTGATCAAGAAAATTATTACTTTAGAGGGATTATTCATTTATTAATAACTAAATAATTTATTACTTCATCAATAGAGAGTGAAGTCATTTCTAACGAATGCTACAAAAATGTGATGGGTGTCGATCACCTCTTGAGTGATCCTATTGAAAATGATCAGCTGATTTAATAATGTAGTAATAAGGTATTGAATATGACTATCGAATAACGATATGTTAGATAATAGTTGTATTTTACTATATGTTTCTCTTAAACAAGTTTCAAGCATCGTAACTCTAAATAATTTTTTTACAAAATAGAAAAATATACCAATTTGTATATACATTGAAAAAAAGGGGGATGTAGTTTTCATATTTTGTAGTTATTTTAACCCATGTTTGATGGCAGTTACTTTGTAAAAAATGAAGTTTTGAATAGTTATTTTTTTAAGATTGTGTGGTTAAAAAATAGGTAAAATTTTTAAATTTACGTGCAAAATATGTTATTGTTTAAATATGTAGTTCTATTTTAAAGGAAGATAAACAGAGCTTGCATAACAACTTATCTCCAATATCTCATATAGTGCTATTTTGAAGAATTGTATATATCATTGTACTTATATTTTAGGCATGGAAATAACTAAAACATTTTATTAACGATGTTAGAATACCACAAATCGATTACATGAAAGATTGAATGCTGTCTGATAGTCACTTAAGCAATTTTCATCATTTTGGAAGACGACGTGATGAAATTTAGAGCTTAATTGGAGTTCAATGACCAATTGAAACAAATGGAAGTGTAGTGACTCAATTAAGATTTGGCTAAAAGTTCAGTAACATAACATCATGTGAAATTTACCCTCTATTTCTCAATTCTTAATTGTGTTCCCAAGAATCGTTTCATAGTATCCTAGACACGTATTTGCACTCCCATGACATCACCGGGAAAGCAAATATTCTTATATATCACAAAATAATATCAATTCATTAATTAGCCAACAGCAATTGTTTTTAATCAATTGCAATGTCGAGTTTTCTATACACTAGATTCTAGGGACCACTGCCAACCATACAAGGATTCAACAATATTTTAAGACTGTCCAAATAAAGGGGCTGGTGGCTAATGAGATGCAATGATTTCACATGTTAAAGAGAGTCAACATCTAGGAAGGTTGGTTTTTCACATTCCAATCCCCATTATTGAATGCTGAAGAGATAAACTCAAGGCAAAGTTTAGAGACCAAAAATGAAAAAATCAATTGAAGATATATCCTATCTTCTTGTCCTAGCATCCTTACTGTCCATCCTGAAGAGTTCCACCGCAATTGATACCATCAATACAACTCAGATCCTCAGAGATGGCGACACCCTGGTTTCATCAGGGGGATTCTTTGAACTAGGATTTTTTAGCCCTGGTAATTCCACGAATCGGTATGTGGGAATATGGTACAAGAATATACCCGGAAAAACTGTTGTTTGGGTCGCCAACAAAGAAATTCCGCTAACGAGTATATCAGGCATCCTGAAGATCATAGAGCCAGGCATGTTGGTTCTTCTGAATGACACTAATAAAATTATATGGTCTTCGAAAACGACAAGAGTTGCTCAAACTCCAATTGTGCAGTTGTTGGACTCTGGGAATCTCGTCCTAAGAGAAGTAAATGGAAATGATCAAGAGAATTTTCTTTGGCAGAGTTTTGATTATTTAAGCAATACATTTCTACCAAACATGAATTTTGGCTGGAACTATGCAACGGGTATAGAGAGCTACCTGTCATCATGGAAGAGCGGTGAGGACCCAGCTCCAGGAAACTTCACACTTCACTTGGATCCAACTGGATATCCACAAATATTCATAAAAAGAGGTAATATTACTACATGTAGAATGGGAAATTGGAACGGTGTTCGCTTTAGTGGAGCAACAGATGTGAGAGGTAAAAGATCCTTGTATGGATTAATAATAATGAACAAGAACAAGACATACTATAGGGAAGATGTCCTTGACCGATCAGTTATTTTGAGAATTACATTGAGTCAGAATGGTGTATGGCAACGCTGGAGATGGGTCGAGGGAACCCAGGGCTGGGTCAATTTCCAGATTTTACCAGTTGATAGTTGTGATACTTACAAATTCTGTGGTGCTTATAGTAGTTGCAATGTAACAAAATCTCCAGCATGTACATGTTTCAGTAGTTTTGTGCCAAAAGATCCAAAAGGTTGGATTATGGAAAATTGGTCAAATGGGTGCATTCGAAGGACCCCATTGAATTGCAAGGGTGATGTATTTTTGAAGTATTCTGGAATTAAATTGCCAGACTCGAGATATTCCAGGTTTAACGAGAGCATGACACTCGAAGAATGCAGAGTGGCGTGTTTAAAGAATTGTTCTTGTATGGCATATACACAATTAGATATTAGCAGAGAGAGAGGTGGGTGCTTATTTTGGTATGGAGACTTGATAGACATCAGAGATCTACTTGTTGATGGACAAGATATTTACATTAGAATGGCTCCTTCCGAGTTGGGAAAGAATATCAACAAACTCGCTGTAGATTCGAAAAGAAAGAGAAGAAAAATATTTATATCAAGTTTGACATCATCGATGGGAGTTGTTCTGCTAGGCCTGAGCTTGATGCTATACTTTTGGAAGAGGGAGAAGAATGATTCAAAGGGGAGAACAGGAGGTAAGCCACCTCCGCCATTTCATGATGAAGGAAAAGGAAAATTAACACTTAGAACATAATTAACAATATCTACATGCATACATACGTATAAATAAGCATGTAAAGTGCAAACGCATCCCACAGGGCAACACTTTCTCTTTTCAACTACTCTCAGCTGAGTTATATCCTCATATTACTAATGTTTCAGGAAGTACTAGCAAAGACTTTGAGCTGCCATTGTTCGACTTATCTACAATTTCAAAGGCCACCAATAACTTTTCAATCAACAAGAAGATTGGACAAGGTGGATATGGGCTTGTTTTTAAGGTAAAATGTGCAAAATCTATATGTGGACGGTACCTTGAGAAAATTAGAGCAGAAGATGAACAAATGCTTAAGTCATGAAATCCTAGATACCTTCAAATACTTGAAACACTTATAAAATCCTCTTGTTTTTCAACTATTGATCTTTTTTTTTTTTTTTTTTGAAATTATTCATATGTTGAACTCTATGAGAAAAGCAGCCTTGGAAAGAAGTTTTGTGAAAACTCTTCTTAAATGTTTTGAAAATAAACATTTTCCTTCAGCATAATTTTCAAACATTTGCTTCTCTTATTATAAGAGATGGTCTCCTCAAATTCAATCACACGATATCAATGTAGCCTAGTAGACATTTTATCAAAGAGTAAAAGATGAATTTCAGCTCCGTACGTACATCTGTACCAATGTTCATATCCCTTTTCTAGTATAGCCTAAGTGACATGTTAAATTAGAGTAAAAGATGAAGTCAGTAGGCTAAAATCCTGTGCTACGTCAATTTTCATTCAAGTGAATACCTTTCCAAATGCAAAAGTTTTGGTCTTAGGGAACACTGAAAGACGGACAAGACATTGCTGTGAAAAGGTTGTCAGAAACTTCCATGCAAGGACTTGATGAATTCAAGAATGAAGTAATGTGTATTGCCAAACTTCAGCATCGAAATCTCGTGAAGCTTCTTGGATGCTGCATTCAAGGAGAGGAAAAGAAGTTGGTTTATGAATACATGCCAAATAAAAGCCTGGACTTTATTCTATTTGGTGAGGATTTCGGATAGTAATACAGTTACCTTTACATCTATATTCTATTGCTGGTATATACCATAATAAAAGTTTAGCTAGTAGCTAGAATATGTAGAGATGTGAAGATAAATGCTATTAAGTAGTTAAATTCTCTGATTTAATTGTATAAATACAGAAAAAAATTTACTCATTGTGACCAGCATAGCTTCGGAATACAGTTTTTTAAAAGACCAAACACTATGATAGTAATTAGAATTATTATTATTTTTTTCTCCAGATAAAACAAAAAGTAGGTTACTAGATTGGCCCAAGCGCTTCCATATCATCAATGGTGTTGCTAGGGGGCTTATGTATCTCCATCAAGATTCTCGGATGAGAATTATCCATAGAGACCTCAAAGCAAGTAACATATTGCTAGATACTGACATGAATCCAAGGATATCGGATTTCGGCCTGGCTAGAAGTTTTGGAGGGAATGAGACTGAAGCTAAGACCGGCCGGGTTGTGGGAACGCAGTAAGAATCCATCTCCACGTGACAATATATCTAATGCATTTCTATTACTTATAGCATTATTTCTTGTTATCGCTTTCATGCAGTGGATACATGTCGCCAGAATATGTGGTCGACGGCTTGTTCTCCTTAAAATCAGATGTGTTTAGTTTCGGTGTCTTAGTGCTAGAAATTGTGAGTGGAAGGAAAAACTGGGGATTTTCCCATAGTGATCACCACCTCAACCTTCTTGGACATGTAAGTGTTTTTGTCTTACACATGAATGTATGGCTGCATGAGAAAAAAAAATGTACAGGACATGAAATTACTATCGTTAATATTTTTATAAATTAAGGTCCTCTCAACCTAATCCAATTTATTCAGGCATGGATACTTTACAAAGAAGGAAGGTCACAGGAACTAGTCGACCCGTGTCCAGATGATTCACAATACTTGAACGAAGTGCTAAGATCAATTCATGTGGGTTTGCTATGCGTGCAAAAATATCCAGCGGATAGGCCAAGCATGTCTACAGTTATTTTTATGTTGGGAAATGAAGGTGTGTTGCCTGAAGCTAAACAGCCTGGTTTTTTCACAGAAAGAGATGTATTTCCAGCGGAAAGTTCAATTAGCACAAATGCAGCCAGGTCATCATGCGAAATGACCATTACTCTGCCAGAATGCAGATAGGAAAAATGTTGTATACTTATATTACATTATTTATCCAATCCTCATTTATTGCATTTCGCATGTTTTTCTTCTTCGTACATTTTTCCAGCCTTTTGCAAAGGTTCTGTGTATCATACCTGATACCAGTATACGTTCATTTCATTGTTGTGGGATCAGTTTTGAAGTATCCATGTTTCCAAATTGACCATAAGACAGTACAGATGACAGTTCTTATGTGAATCAACTGATATATTCAGATTTGGCAAAACCAATGCATTTGTGTTGCTATGTATACACTTACACTCCTCATTGTTTGTAGACTCTCTACTCAGGGTCCAGGGAGAACTAGGACGTCAGAATTTTTATACTATAAATGATATGGGATTTTACCCCTAACATTCCTACGCAAGATGGTTGCTTGCTTGAATAACACCAATCTCGGAATCCATTTGAATTTTACAAAACTTAATGAAATCCGATATTATATTAAGACTTGAAGTTCCATCCAGATAAACCAAGTAGCTTAGGTTTTTGTACTTAACTGAAGTGATGTCTTACATTAAGATAATAATTATTTACTCAAACATTTAGATATTATTGCTTGGTGTCTAAAAATTTAAATAGTTTGCTAGCTCTGTTCAACTCTGTTTCATCAAAAACTAACATAAATACTTGCTGCTCGGTCGCTAAAAAGAACTAACATGGCATTGTGAAGCTGTTTAAGTAGTTTTTGTAAATGCAAATTTAAGGACGACTTCAACAAGACAAACCTTGCATATAAGGTGAAATTAAAATTTAAAAAAAAAAAAAAAAGTAAAAAAACAACTGGAAACCTTAAAAACCCAATTTATAAATGAAACGAAAGAGCTACTAAAACCAAATTAGGATAAATATATATGGTAGCCCTACATACAACACAGACATCCTGTAATTCAGCATGTATGTATAAAATTAAACAGAAAAGATACAGAAAATTGAAAATCGCATTAGAGATTATTTACCTTATTCTGAGTGGAGAGGACAGAATTATTCCGGGAAATGCGCAAGGATTTCATATCCTCAATATAGGCGAGTATGCGTGGTTGGGGAGGAATGCCCACAGGCAATTCCAGGCGAGAGCTGAGTAGCTGGATTTTAATTTGGTTGTTCACGTAAAGACCTAATTAAGTACAAAACCACTTAAAATATGGATTATTTTTACATTTGCTTCTCAAAATTGTGTCCGATTATTTATTTTAGAAACCACTCCGCTAGAGAATTGAGATTGTATTTTTCAGTTGCACATTTACTTCATTAACTATACATTAATTATTTATGTCTCAACAGCTCATCCAAAATTAATCTTGTGTTCAAAAATATTATATGTATTTTTCACAGTGTTTTAAAAAGAGTAAAGTGTCATTAGGCATGGAGGTCGAACTTTATGTTTTACGAGCGTAGGCGATGACTAAGCGTAAAAAAACGTTTTCTTATTTTTAATATTATTTTAAATTTTGAATTATTCTAAAAATTATTTAATGATTAAAATAATACATACTAAACATCTAAAATTATAAAATACTCTATTTACTTAATAATTCATGCAATTAGTCAATTATACAATATTCAAGTTTTAGAAATGTCAACGCCGGACTATTTTTGATAGTTTCAGCTGGACAAGTCTTACTTAATAAATTTATATGAATTTAATATATACTTTCGAAATTTTCAATAAAAAGATAAATCTCACAATCGTATTTATATAATGTATATAGTATTGTAGCTTAAATCTTATCTTACTCAAAGTCATTTTAAAAACTTAAAACTAAAGTCAAATA